ACGTTTGGTCGGAGTCTACATAAAGCGCTACTCAGATAATAATATACACGGCGTATATTCTCCTGGAGTTAGTATAATACCGTTTTAGTACGGAGCCCATATTAACCGCTAGAAGTATATATATATATATATATTATATATATATATATATATTATATATATCTTGGTTAAACTATAAAACTTAACAAAGAGAACCAAACAGCAGAGATCAAGAGACGAGTTAGACTGGCATGGGCGGCATTTGGCAAACTAAGCTACATTCTTAAAAACAAAAGATATCCACAGCATCTTAAGACCAAAGTATATAATCAATGCGTACTCCCTGTTCTTACGTATGGCTCCCAAACGTGGACATTTACAAAAGCAAACATGGACAAAATCATAAAAACCCAAAGAGCAATGGAAAGACAAATGTTGCACATAAGACTAATGGATAAGAAGAGAAACGAGTGGATAAGAGAGAAAACAAAAGTGAGGGATGTTAGACAAGAAGTTGCAAAATTGAAATGGAGATTTGCCGGACACAATATAAGACAAAAAGAAGACCGATGGAACAAAATTCTTATAAGTTGGAGACCGTGGGAATATAAACGAAGCAGAGGAAGGCCCCAAATGAGATGGGCAGATGATATCAAGAAGCACGTGGGCTCTAGATGGATGACCGTAGCGACAGACAGAGAAGAATGGAAAATGATTGGGGAGGCCTATGTCCAAAGATGGACCGAAGAAGGCTAATTAGATAGATTTCTTAAGGTGAAGCCTTAGCATTTATTTCTTTTATTTTGAGCAACCAAGTATTTATCTTAGAACTTTTGGATTTTATTATCTTTTTCCCTTAGGATTATTTTTTGAGATGGAGGTTATGATCCGATTAGCCATCTGCTCAAGGTTAAGGACCTAATGCTTATAATGGAACTTTTAAATCTTATAGTTAGTATAAAGTCAATCTGATTTCTTATGCAATTTTGTTTATTATCCTGTGATGACCTTAAGTTACGCAGTCTACAGGGTGGTAATCGATACCATGTGTTCATAATGCGCTAGGTTTTCTTCTTGATAAAATTGAGCCAATCTGTCGCCTCTATGCATTTACATTAGTACATTACTACTTGTACTACATTAATGTTCACTGGCTTATCCTGTATTTGTAATAATAGCATTCTATCCGAAAAGGGAACACAACGTACAACGGTTGCTTGGATTCTCCTAGAGATAATTATTCCAACTCCATATAGACGATCTCATACAAAACAGGACATGCAACTCCAAGTAAACAAAGTACAAGAAGAATCAAAGAAGGTTGGTCTAGAAATAAACATCATCAAAACCAAAGAAATGCGATTTGGTACCAGAAACAACCAACCTATTATGATCAACGACCAGAAAATTGAGAGAGTAGCGGAATTTGTATATCTGGGCAGCATAATTGACTGTAATGGGGGTACAGAGCGTGATGTACATAAAAGAATAAATAAGGCTCGCAACGCCTACAACATGCTTAACAACATATGGAAATCCAGGATTTACCCAACTAAAACGAAATTAAAAATCTTCAACACAAATGTAAAAGCTGTATTACTGTATGGCTGCGAAACGTGGAAGATATCAGCACCCATAGTACACCAATTACAAGTTTTCATCAATAGAGCGTTACGAAAAATCCTTCGTATATTTTGGCCTAACCGAATCTCCAACGAAAATTTATGGAACCAAAGCAACCAAGAAAATGTCATAAAGCAAATAAGGTGAAGAAAATGGAGATGGCTGTGCCACACACTCCGTAGACCGCCAAATGACATTGCCAGGACAGCGCTGGATTGGAATCCCCAAGGCCGACGGAAAGTAGGCAGACCTAAGGGAACTTGGAGAAGGACAGTACTGGACGAAGGGAGAAAAATGGGAAAATCCTGGCTTGAAATCAAAGCACTAGCCAGAAATAGAGTTCGCTGGAGACACTTTGTGGAAGCCCTATGTTCCTCTTAGGAATCTTGGGACTATCTATATATACATATAGATGATCTCGGGTGTCATTTCCGCAGTAGTATATCCTTCCATGATTAATGTTTTACTGGAACCAGTCCAGCGCATTTCGCTTATACTTAATATTGCTAGGTTCAATCTGTTCATTTATTGAATCGTGTTGTAGGTATTTTTCGTGTTCGAACAAGCTTCGAACATTCCATGTCTCAAAATTTAAAAGGAGTTGTTTTCTTATACAGTTTTCTATACAATTACTCTAACTTACCTTTTATCTTCATTTCTTCTATTGAGAAAGTTATGCATTATCACTTCTCAAGAGGTGGTGAAATTCCATTCCACTTGATATAAATTTTCAAATAAGCCGATATTGCAATTGTAGGTAATGATAAGCGTCAGTGAAAAGTGTAGTGAAGTATCCTATATCACAGTGTTTTCGGAGGATATCAGAAATTTTTATTTAATCTTAGCATTAAATATAAGTTAGTGTTTAATTCTGTTTTTCATTCCAGCCCCAGAGTGGTGGTCCTTCGTCCTTCAGTTCTTTAAATAAGTTAATGTTCAACCAA